CAAAAGTTATGCCCATTTTTACAAATTCTCGAGAGATTTTGCAAATAAAGTGGAAATTCATATTTGCAAATTTTCCCAACAACTAGACCACATATCACATGGGAAACTTATTTTCTTTTATTTTTTTGACATTTTCATCATTTTATTTTATTTTTTTAAAACTGAAAAGGCGATCCAAACGAGGGGGGGGGGGTAGAGTTTGAAAATGGGACCTTTAGTAGTAGCGCGGTTTTTTACCCTCTCGCTACTACTATGGCACCACTTAGTAGTAGCGAGGGCTAAAAATCAACTGTACTGCTATCAAACTTAGTAGTAGCGAGGTTTTAAAAACCCGTGCTACTACTATGGCATGTCCCGGGGGGCACGGTAGAGACCGCTTTAAACCTCGCTACTACTAAGTTTATAGCAGTAGCGAGGGTTTTTAACCCTCGCTACTAGTAACTTTCTGTGTATAGGCTTTTCCCTAGTAGTGGAATGTTATGGGAAAAAACGTATTCAAGAATTTTTCAATTGTCGGAGCTTCGGGACAAGGTTCCCTCCACGAGGAGTTCCGCATGTAGATGAGGTGGCTTTGACATACTCACAGTACCTGTCATCGCCTCCCTGGATGAAGAGCGGAGCTTGTTGCTGGGGCACCGGTCGATGGAGCGGAGGACGACGCAGGCATCGGAGAGTAGCCGGTCCTTGAGCTGAGAGTGCCTAGGCGGCAGTAGGACCGAGAGGACTAGTAATTGTTAGATTCATATATGAATGTACTTTTTAATGATATTGTTTTTGCTATGTACAACTTAAATTTTTCTTGGTCAAAATATGAGCCAAAATACGAGGAGACTATAGTAATTCAAGACGGGGGCGGTACATCTTACAATGAGTTTAATGATACTAGCAAACATGCCCGTGCGTTGCTACGGGGCGGAGGGGCAGTGGTTCGAGAGAGAGGGGTGCCCGGAGGACTTCCACGTAGTGCATTTTTCTCGACTTTGAAGCACATTTTTCAAGAGTTTAGTTACTAATTTAAATATTTTGAAGTAAGAGCACATATGATGTTTTTCGTCTGTCGTCAACATGACATCGTAGATTAGACTGTCAATATATAGTGACAACGCATACTAAAAATATCATACACGCAACACTTATGTTGAGTGCACTGATATCGCACAAATAAAATGTTGCATACTTTGCCTAGCGCCCAACCATATTGTGTGTGTGCTATCCACAAAGTCCTTCTCTATAGATGTACTAACTTCGTAACCTGTCGCAATATATGAAGGATTCTTCATCGGAATTGAATCTTTGCTTAGTGTGTTGCGCCTCAATTCACGGCTATCTTCTAGCTTTTTTCTCTGGTTGCATATTGGTGTATTTCTGCAAAAAAAAATAAAAATTGAGGAATCAACAGGGGGGGGGGTGTATTTTTCATGCACACTTTTTTATCTTCTGTGTTGACGCCATGTTTGCATATTTCTTCTTTACTTTTGTGTCTTTTTTAACTGGGTCGAATCTTTTATTATTTGTTAAGTTGATAGGCTTGCGTTTTTTCAGTTTTTAGTTGAAGCAATTTAGAAAGCAGAAAAATGATAACACAAACAGATGCAAATCCAACGTCTAGAAGAAAAAAATAGAACCAAACCCGGCAATGCACGGCGAGAAACAAATGATCAGGATGGACGCGTGCATGCATCACACGCCGGCGACGCGTATCGTTTGGCCGCACGCACCGCTGTCCATTCCTCCAAGCTTATCATCTCACCCTCCCAATCATCCCCTATCTTATCTCTCCCCAACGCACTCCCTCCTCTGTCCGGCGAGGACCATGCGCAGCACTCCCCCTCTCAACGGCCGCCACTGTAGGAGTACTAAAGAAAATATACCCTCCTCTCGCCCTCGTTTGCATCTACTACTCCAAGAACACACTAAATCAAGGGGAGCGCGCAGAGAAGCCATGGTGCATCCGGTGGCGGAGGCCGACGAGCGGAGCCCCTTCGGCCAGCTCACCACGGAGGCGTACTGCGCGCGCCACGGCGTCATGCACTCCTCCTCCACCTTGGTCAACCCGTGGGGGCTCCGCATCTTCACGCAGCGCTGGGCGCCCCCGTCCTCGGCGCCATCGCCGTCGTCCACGGCTTCACCGGCGAGTCCAGCTGGATGGTCCTGCTCACCGCCATCCACTTCGCCAAGCAGGGCTTCGCCGTCGCCGCCGTCGACCACCAGGGGCACGGCTTCTCCGAGGGCTTCCAGGCCCACATCCCGGACATCGGCCCCGTGCTCGACGACTGCGAGGCCGGCTTCGCCCCCTTCCGCGCTGACTACCCTCCCCCGCTGCTCTGCTTCCTCTACGGGGAGTCCCTCGGCGGCGCCATCGCGCTGCTGCTGCACCTCACCAAATCAGACACAGGTGTCGCGCGCGCGCGAGCATCGCACCGCCCAGGGCCCGCAGCCCGCAGGCACTGAAGCAAGATGTGGACGCCCGCATCGTTCCGCTGCAGCCGCCGTCGCTGGGTCCAGGGCAGCACCTCCTCCGTGTCGCCCGTCAAACCACCGCCCCGGCCCCGGCGCCACCCGCAACAGCCCGACGCCGTGCTGCCGCGCCCGAACCCGGCGAGGCGGCCTCCATTCTCCCAAGCGAGCACGCCTTCCATCTTATCGTCTTCCGCCGCGACGCCTCGCCCCAAGCGAGAAGGCCAGCCGCCGGGACGCCTCGCCCCCTTCCTAGGCTCGGGCGGCGCGGACGCCCGCCGCGACACCTCTCCCCTTCCTTGGCTACCGCGGCGACGCCTCGCCCATTCCTGGGCTCGGGCGGCTCCTTGGCTACCGCGGCGACGCCTCGCCCATTCCTGGGCTCGGGCGGCGCGGACGCCGCCGGCAAGATGCGGTGGTGGAGGACGGCGCGCAGGCGCCGGCGGCGAGCGGTGTGCCCGGCGGTGGAGTACGGCAATGTATAAGCCGCGGCGGAGAACGGCAATGGACGCAGGGGGCTTTTTGCAAAATCAAAATGTTTTTCCAGATACACTTAAATCGGGACCGCGGGTTGATTTCCCGGAAACTGCGGGGCTTTTCTGCAAAACGTGCGACGACGGACGACCAGAAGCAATCGGTGGTCTATTAGTAGGTAAAGATATGTTTGGCCTTCCAGATGTAAGTATTTTTCTCCATAAAGTTGGTCACACTTTGTGACGTTTTAACTTTTCAAAAAGTCTAGGAGGGAGTAGAAAATGAAACCTACACCAAAGAAGCAGTAGTCAAATAGCACAAGAGATGCACCGGCCGCTCCTGAACGGCATCAGTGTAGCACTGCTCTACCGCCACTGGTGCATGAGCATCCACGTGTCGTTGCGCACCTTTCAGTTTGTCTTTTTTGCTGTGGAGGTGATCTGTCATTTTTTCCTTGGTAGCTACTGTGGTGGTGGCTACGAGCGTTGGTGTTAAGCTCATAGGACTATTTGGTCTTGTTTGTATTTTTAATTCTTGGTTGGTGTGTCATGTGTGCAAAGACTAGCGTTCTACTGTTTTTTCAATTTTATCAAGTCAATATATATGTGATTTATACTATGATCCTATAAAAGGATCGAGCCTTTGCAAATGAGGATTTTCGGCAACAATACGAGTATATCCGAGTGAAGCATCTTGCGGCATGTGAATCAGATCACTGTTTTGTTGTAGCGGATGTGCAAGCTTCTCTGCCGGGTAGATCTCAGCATACACGGCAGTTTAGATATGAAAACGTTTGGCAAACACATAGGGAATATGATCAGCTTGTCTCAGAAACATGGCGTGGTCATGCTCGCGCCCCGGGACTGCAAGGTATATCAGATTCGCTTGATATTCTCAGGCGCACTCTTGGTCCATGGGGAGCGAAGGAGTTTGGGTGCCTCACACGTACGGTGAGACAGCTTCAGAAAAAGTTGAATAAGCTCCGGAGTGAGTCTGTTGGACGTGGACCGACAGATGAAGAGAAACGTACGGACACAAAACTCCGGGAGGCTATGCACCAGGAAGAGATGTGGATGAAGCAGCATTCACGTGTCCGTTGGTTACGTGAAGGAGATCGCAATACTTCCTACTTTCAAGCACAAGCAGTAGTGAGAAAACGCATAAATAGAATCGCCGGTCTCAGGCACCAGGACGGCTCGGTTTGTGCAACAGAAAGAGAGGACAAGGAAGAGGTGCAAGCTTTTTACCAGAACTTGTTTGAGTCCCAAGGTTTTCATGATGTTAATAATTTGTTGAACTCTGTTCCGGTGAAAGTAACACAGGCTATGAATGATCTTCTTAATAAACCATATGATGCAATCGAGGTGAGGGAGGCTCTATTCCAAATGGCAGCCTCCAAAGCCCCGGACATTGATGGGTTTACAGCGGGTTTTTATCAACATCACTGGAGTGTTATCCAGGAGGACGTGACACGAGCAGTACTGGAATTTCTGAATGGGAGTGACATGCCTACCGGACTTAATGATACTTCGATAACTCTTATTCCAAAGGTACGGCATCCACAGACAATTCTTCAATACCGCCCTATAGCTCTCTGTCCGGTTCTGTATAAGATTGCTGCCAAGGCAATCACTAATCGCATGCGGAGTATTATGGATGAAATTATTAGTGAAGAACAGAGTGCCTTTGTTCCTGGACGCTTGATCACCGACAACGTGTTAGTTGCATACGAAAGTGTGCACACAATGAAGCGGATGAAGAAGGGGAAGAATTATTCCTGTGCGCTTAAGCTTGACATGATGAAAGCGTACGATAGAGTCGAATGGCACTACTTGGAGGCCATCATGTTGAGATTGGGGTTCTCTATGAGCTTTACTAGGCTCATTATGAAGTGTGTATCTTCTGTCAGATTCTCGATTAGGGTCAATGGGGAGCTTCTCCCTTTCTTCACCCCTTCAAAAGGTTTGCGGCAGGGAGATCTCGTATCACCATATTTATTTCTAATTTGTGCAGAGGGCTTATCTTCCTTGATCAAGTCATATGATGGGGGCTATATTGACAGGGGGATCAGAGCTAGCTTCAGATCACCTTGGGTCAGTCATTTACTGTTTGCAGATGACAGTCTTATATTCATCAGTGCAAGTGGACAAAGTGCAGACAGATTGAATACAATTCTGGAGACTTATGGTAATGCCTCTGGACAGAGGGTTAACAGAGACAAAAGCGCAATTTATTTCAGTACAAACACCCCAGATTCGGTGCGGCAAACAATCAAGGCGATGCTGGACATTCAGGTTGAGGCTTTTAGCGAGCGGTACCTGGGTCTTCCTACTGCTGTGGGGCGGATCACAAGTGAAACTTTCGACCACATTGGTGACAGGGCTTGAGGGAAGATGCAAGGGTGGTCTGAACGTTTATTGGCATGTGCAGGCAGAGAAACATTGATGAAATCAGTGGTGCAATCCATACCAACGTTTAGTATGAGTACTTTTCTTCTAACCAAGAAGGTTTGCAAGAGTGTTACCTCCCCAATGGCAAAAATTTCTTGGAGCAGTTCTCTTGACAGGAAGTCAGTGCATTGCGTCTCATGGGAACAATTGACGACGCCAAAGTGCAAAGGGGGCATGGGCTTCAGGGACATGCACCAGTTTAATCTAGCGACGCTGGGCAAACAAGGGTGGAGGCTGCTCACACAGCCGGATACATTGTGCTCAAGGGTGCTAAAAGGAAGGTATTTCCCGGAAGTTGATTTCATGGATGCTACGCTGTCCAAGTCAGCTTCCAAGACTTGGCGGGCGATTATGGCGGGCAGGGAAGCCCTCCAAGCCGGTTTGATCAAAAGAATTGGAGATGGCACATCCACTTCTATATGGACTGACAGATCACCTACCACGCTTGATAAGGTCTCAGATCTGATAGACAGTGATAACTGGTCATGGCGACAGCAGGTGGTCCGAGACAATTTTATTGCGCCAGATGCCCAGGCCATTCTTAATATCCCATTGAGGCAAGGCGGCGGTGAAGATTTTCTCGCTTGGGCGCTCGATAAGTCAGGCAACTATACTGTCAAGACGGCGTACCGTGCTCTTATGACTCAGAAAGAGCGGTTAGCTCTAGAGGAAGGGACGGATACCGGTACTTCACGGGATGATCATTAGTTGTGGTCTGCACTTTGGAAGCTCAATGTTGTCCCGAAGGTGAGAGTGTTCTGGTGGAGAGTCATCCGCGGCATTCTTCCAGATGAGAACACACTCAAGCGGCGGCATATAAGTGAGATTAGCAGATGTAATATCTGCTTAGCTAGAGATGAAGACCTTCAACATGCGTTGATGTACTGTTCGCATGCGAAGAGGTTCTGGCACGAGGCTCGGTCATGGTTTGATCTACATCTACCTCGGCTCCATCCAGACTCCTGGGCGAGGGATATACTATGTCATGATCGGTTCTCAGAGAAGGACAGGCCACTGACCATTACGATCATGTGGGCCATTTGGCACTCCCGCAATAAAATCAAACATAACGAGGAAGGAATAGACCCGGCAACATCAATGCGGCTGACGAGAGAGGCTTTCGCCATTCTAGATCTTCCTCGGAATCTTACTAGGACCATTGTGGGACATGGATGGCGGCTACCTGAGTTTGATCACATTTCTATCACTACAGATGGCGCCATTGATTTTGACACAAGCACTGGAGGTGCAGGTGGTGTGGCTCGTTCGGCAACCAAGATGTTAGGAGCTTGGTGTAAACCTTATATGGGAATCACCGACCCCCTCTTGGCTGAAGCTTATGCACTTCGTGACGGGGTATTGTTTGCAAGACTTCGAGGCTTCACACATGTGATCATGGAAGTAGACTGCATGGAGATGGTTGATCTCTGGAATTCTCGCCACAATTCGAGATCTATTGTGGCAGCTATCTTAGTTCAGATTGGAGAGCTAGCTCGTGATTTTTCTTTTTTTGTTGTTCAACATGTAAATCGGTCAGCGAATGTTCCGGCTCATCTATGTGCTAAGCGTGCTTGCACATTGCATGTAACGGAAAGCTGGCTTGATGAGACTCCCAGCTTCCTTGTGACCAGCCTTATGGTTGATTGTCCAAGGAATGCTCTTGTTTGAATAAAGCTCTCTGAATTGATTGCAAAAAAAAAGTATCCCGGCCAGGAGCTCCACCTTGACTAGCGCTTTGTCATTGGCCTGATCTATGTGCGCGGATTGTCATTGATGCCAACTTGCCAAGACTTATGACTACACAAAAAATGTTCTTAAATTTGAAAAAAGTTTGTAAATACAAGACGTTCAAGAATTTTAAAGAATGTGTGCAAAATTGATTTTTTTCCGAAATTTTTAAAAATATACGTAAAATTGATAAAATGTTCTAGAATTTCATTAAAATTTTGTGAAATTTAAAAATTTAAATAAAATGTTCAGGAATTTCAAAATATATTTTTGAATTCATAAAATGTTCGTGAATTTCAAAATATCTTCCCGAATTTTATTTTTTTCAGTATTTCAAAACATGTTCTAAATTTCAGAAAATATTCACAAAATTTAAAAATATCCATGAATTTGAAAAGTGTCCCAGATTCAAAAACAGGTTCATCAATCCGAAAATTGTTCTCTAGCGTTAAAGATGTTTCAGAAAATATTTCGGGAATAAAAAACAACTATTTCCGCAAAATGTAGCGATTTTTTCACAAATTTCAAAAACTGTTCATGAATAAAAAAATTTAAAAAGGAAAAATAGAACGAAAAATAAAAAATGTGAAAAACAAAAAAGAACGCCATAAAAAATAAAGAAAGCCGGCAAAAAAACCGAGGAAAAACCCGGCTCTATGAAGGTGCCTGAACCGTCCCAAAACCGGTGGGGGGTAGAAAGAAAAGAGTGAAAGGTGTTAGTATCGACCCAAACAAAACCGGTTCGTGGCTTGCGACGGACTCCCTCTCTATTTGGCCCGGCCCGCCCCCACCGCCTCAGGAAGTCACGAAAGAGCGAGCTCGACCTGCCTCTCGCCGGCGGCGGAGGGAGAGAGGATGGGCGTCCCGGCGTTCTACCGGTGGCTGGCGGAGAAGTACCCGATGGTGGTGGTGGACGCGGTGGAGGAGGAGGCCGTGGAGATCGACGGCGTGAAGGCGCCGATCGACACGTCCAAGGCCAACCCCAACGGCCTCGAGTTCGACAGCCTCTACCTCGACATGAACGGGATCATACCTACCTACTTGTACTTTATTGGGGTAGCTGTTCCATTCGCACCTGCTGGGTCTTACTTAATTACTTGTAGAATCATATATTTTCAATTCAAATGGAGGGAGCTTCAATACTGTCCCCAGATCATCTTGAGGCTGCAGGAGGATGTTACTATAGTTCAAGTATACAAATTTGATGATGCAGTTCCAAGATTCAATCCGGTTTTTCTGTTCTTCATCAAACTATTTACACAGCAAAATTAATTTCTGGACAAGTGAATCTGCACAAGATTCAATTTTACTTTAGTTAGGACGCCCTGCAGATTAATTGTGGATTGCACACTGCTACTGTATCAACAACAGTCCTACCGCAAACATTTTGTTTCCCCATTTATTTACCAACAGTCCTGCAGATTAATTGTGGATCTTAGTTAGTTCCCACATCCAGATGAGAGCTAGCCACACCCGATATCCAACCACTACGTTGGCCGTCGTTCTCACTTCTATTGCATTTTGTGCCACAGCCCTCGCCAACGACATTTGCTGAGGTCTTCCAGTGCATGTTCGATTACATAGACAGGCTCTTTCTCATGGTTCGCCCTCGCAAGCTTCTGTACATGGCCATTGGTACGCGTTTCATCTCTTTGTCATATATATTACTTCACTTGTTAAGCTTTCCTTTGAACAAATTGCTATTGATTGTATGTACCTAGCTACATTAAACACATTTTTCTCCTTTTTATTATTATCCTACAATGGCTTACAGATGGTGTGGCTCCTCGTGCTAAGATGAACCAACAACGCTCTAGATGATTCAGAGCTGCAAAAGATGCTGCTGATGCGGTCAGTATTCTAATGGAATCATCTTCTCATATTCAGTGTGTAATTGTACAGCCGTATCTATTATTATTTGTGGACAGTTGCAACCATCTATGATTACACTCACTGGTCACTTGCGTTCTATGTCCAGGCCGAAGAAGAAGAAAAACTGCGTCAAGAGTTTGAGAGGGAAGGAAGAAAGCTTCCTCCAAAACAGCAATCACAAACCTGTGATTCCAATGTTATTACTCCCGGGACAGAGTTCATGGTTGTTCTATCAGTTGCTTTGCAGTACTACATCCACCTCAGGTTGAATTATGATCTTGGATGGAAAAAAATTAAAGTAAGCATGACCTTTTTTTTTACTAATTTGGCTTTAAAATGCATTTGTTAATATGCTTAGTCATAATATTTCCTTAAGATTCAGAAACTCTATGGATTGTTATTAGAAAGTATGTAGAAATAATATGTGTCCTGATTTACAATCTTTTGAAGGTTATTCTCTCTGATGCCAATTTTCCTGGTGAAGGGGAGCACAAAATCATGTCCTACATTCGTGGCAATAGGAACCTCTGTAATGAACTTAACGCAAATACCCGACATTGCCTGTATGGCCTGGTAAGTTCTGTTTTTGTATGCTTAATGTTCTCTTTGTTGTTTGCTATTTTATCTGTTATTAGTCTCGCTAACGCATAAATTTAATCTCATGAATGCAGGATGCAGATCTGATCATGTTAGGTCTAGCAACACACGAAGTACACTTCTCCATACTGAGAGAGGTTCTCTTCTCAAAATACAGAATTTACACTTTTTTGACCATATCATGCATGTCACAGCCTTGTGCTAAGAAAAATTTATACGCCTTTTTGAATTTTACTGTTGTCTATGTTGCTACTCTACTTTTCAAAAATTAAAGTTTTTTCTTTCTTTTAGAGCACTCATTTTCCTTGAACATTTTGTTCGACGTTATGCCATGAAATCTTATTTGCATACGCTTTGTGTTTGCAGGTGGTGTTTACACCTGGACAGCAGGACAAATGCTTCCTGTGTGGTCAAGTTGGACATCTAGCAGCAAAGTGTGAAGGAAAGGCAAAACGGAAAGCTGGGGAGTTTGATGAGAAGGGTGATGAAATAGTACCAAAGAAACCTTACCAGGTAATAATGATCATTTTATTTAGTTGCAGCTTGCCAACGGACTTATTCTCATTTGTACTGCTCCACTTTCGTGCTTGCACAGTTCTTGAATATATGGACCCTACGAGAGTACCTAGAATACGAGTTCAGAATGCCAAATCCACCTTTCAAGATTGATCTTGAACGCATCATTGATGATTTCATCTTCATGTGCTTTTTTGTTGGCAATGATTTTCTTCCACACATGCCGACACTAGAGATTAAGGAGGTTAGTTTATGTAGTGTTACTATTTTTTCTTTCAAAGTTTGAAATGTTCCTCTGTTTTAGTTCACTTTCTTAGATTGTTGTCACACTGACACAATGGTTACTCTCATATCTGTCTGCAGAGAGCTATTAATTTGCTAATTGCTGTATACAAGAAGGAATTTCCTAATATGGGTGGCTATTTAACTGACACTTGCACAGTATTGTACATCATCTGACCCATGTGGTATCTTCGTCAGAAATTTATTCTATTTGAAATGATCCTCATGGGTACATCAGCAATAACACATTTTATCTTCATTGTTGTAGCCGGATCTGAATAGAGTTGAACACTTCATTCAAGCAGTTGGTTCATACGAGGATAAAATATTTCAGAAAAGGGCTCGTTTGCACCAGGTATAAAAATGATGACTGTCTTGATTTTGCTTATCAATCTTGCTTAACTTCAGCTATACCTGGCGTGTATATTGTGAAGAGCAATATACCTATACGACATTTCTTACCTATATACACTTGATGCTCAGCTGTTACTAGTAGTGTGTGCTTTCACTGACAGTTTACGTTTACAACGATGCTGTCCTTTGCAGCGTCAAGCTGAAAGAATAAAACGTGATAAAGCCCAAGCAAAGCGAGGCGATGATTTGGATCCCCATGTCAGTGGTGATCTTATTGTACCTGTTGCGCGATTCCAAGGGTCTCGCCTTGCCTCTGGGGCTGTGGCTTCACCATATGAACATAATGGGTCTCATAAAGATAGCACGGAAAAGGGTGGTCGAGCTAAGAAAGCACGTGTATCATCTTCAGATTCCAGCCTTTCTGCTGCTACGAACCGGTACTAATGGGGTTTGAGGCATTAGTACCGGTTCATGGCACGAACCGGGACTTAAAGGTCCAGACGAACCGGGACAAATGGCCCACGTGGCCCCTGGGTGCACGAACCGGGACTAATGCCCCCATTAGTCCCGGTTCTAGACTGAACCGGGACTAATGGGCTAACCGGGGTGGACCAAAGCCCTCTTTTCTACTAGTGAATCTTAGTACCTTCATGTGGTGGATTATTTGATAGTTTGTTTATTTACATTTCAGCTCACATGCACTCCCTCTACGGTATCGGCGGTTGATGACTGATCCAAGTTCGCCCATAATTGATTTTTATCTGATTGGTATGCTTATTTTTCAAAGATATAATGACAAATAGTATCAGATTCTCCTAGCTACAACCTTAAGTCAATTCTAATCCGGGTGAACCTTTGTACGTATGCTGCAGATTTTGAAGTAGATATGAATTTTGAAGTAGATATGAACGGAAAGAGATTTTCTTGGCAGGTACATTTATCTTAGTAAGCATAATTATGTATATCATACTTCTTCCATGTTTAATTTAACTAAAAAATTTACTTTACAGGGGATAGCCAAACTGCCCTTCATTGATGAAGCTAGGTTGCTGTCTGAGATTGAAAAAGTCGAGCATACTTTGACGGTATGGAACAGTGTCTCGTGTGTTTTTGTTTTTATGGCGTACATGTAGTAGAAGATCTTGTTTTAACTTCTAAGATTTCCATATTTTCCTCATCTTTTGTGTAGCCTGAAGAAGCAAGACGAAACAGTACAATGTACAATATGCTTTTTGTGAATAGCTTGCACCCAATTGCGCCTTATATCTATTCTCTCAGCAGCAAATTCGGACATCTGCCCAATAATGAGCGAAATGAAATTAAAGAGCCACTCAAGCCTTCTGCCAGGTTAGCTAACCCTACCAGGATTCTTGATTGACTGCAGATAGTATTTTCTTGTTAAACTGTACTAGTTCCACCATATTATATAGTACTCCCTCCGTCCGAAAAAGCTTGTCCCAAGCTGACACTCAAATGGATGTATCTAGCACTAACTTGGTGATAGATACATCCATTTAAGGGACAAGCTTTTCCGGACGGAGGGAGTACTGTATAACAAATAAGCGGCTCTTATTTGAGCTGCTATAACTACAACATCACTTAATTAGCCGCTCTTGCTTATTTTGTGCAGTGGAGGAATGAGTGGTTACATCTCACTTTGTGGTGGGGATCCAAGTCCACCTGTCTTCAGATCTCATGTCGGTGGACTGGAGGATATTATGGACAATCAAGTGATGTAAGTTCATCTTCCCCCTGTATTATTGATATGATCTAGTGGCACTTGAATTCAAGATTGTGACATTTGGCTTCTCTAGATGCTCAATTTACAAGCTTCCAGATCCTCATAAGCACATAGCGCGTCCACCTGCTGGTGTCATCATGCCCAAGAAGGTACAGAACTGTTGTTTATTTTCGGGTAACATCAACATGTGTATATCATTCCACTCGGGAAGTGTTCACGGTTAACAAGCGTTGTTTAATCTGCTCTGAAGATTGTTGAAGCTGGTGATCTGAAACCACCGCCTGTGCTGTGGCATGAAGACAGTGGCAGGAGGCCTTATGATGATAACAGGAGGCATTGTGATAATAGCAGCAGGTTGGTAGTGTATGAGCCTTTTGCCCTTCGATTTAGTCAATCCTTGCTTCCACGCACTGCGAATCCTAACCAACTTTTGAAATGGTTCAGGCAAAACCCTGCAGGATCGACACAGGGACGCCAACTAGGGGAGGCCGCACACCGACTAGTTGCAAACAGCTTGAATATTCGCGGCGGCGGGCATTACCCCCCTGTTAGGCCATATCAAACTATAATGAGTGGTCTGCATTATCCAAATGGAATGCCAGCATGGATGGAGCAGCCTGCTGGACGTAGTCCTGCTTGGCATGTTCCTCCTGGTGATAATCTACCCAACAATCAGGTATCGGCCTATGCGCTGCCATCAGGATCAGGCCATCAGTATACAAGAGATAATCGCGGAAGGCACCAACCATACGCAAGAGACAGCCACAGCGATTCAAGAGGAGCGGGCCAGCATCCATCTCGATACCATCAGAATAGTAGCAGCAATGCATATTCATCGCATCCTGCTCCTCCATCATCAGGTTTTGGACGATACGGGCAACCCCCATCGTATGCTGGGGACTACCAGCCTGCGCCGTATGCAGGAGCCCAGCAGTGGCAGCAGCAGCAACAACCTCATGGTTCCTATTCTGGAGGCCGGGCGCTTCCTGCAAGACCTAATTCACGACCGCAGCAGTCACAGAACTCCTACGGCAGCTTAGATAGGACTTTAGACAGGAGACCACCAGGCCAGGGGTTTACTACTTACTAGAACTTTACTTCGACTTAGATCAGGCATAGGAATAGGCACGGCATTTGCAAAGTCTGGTGATCTTCAAGCCTCTTGCTCATGGTATAGAAATTACCTAGGGGGAAGTGTTGTATACTAGCAATTATTGCCATTTTTTGAAAAAGAAGAAATTTGGCTCCTTCTGAGAAAGAAATTGATAAGGCAGCAAGTGTTGTTTCTCTCGTTCTTTGAAAATTGTTTCTGTTGTTTCGCGCGATGTACTGCTTCTGCTGTTTCTCTATGTTTCTACTGTTTGTGAAAAGAAGAAGAGTTCCAATAAAGTGATCTTCTGTTTCTACTGTTTGTACTACTTCTGCTGTTTCTTTCTGTTTCTACTGTTTGTGAAAAGAAGAACAGTTCCAAATAAAAGAGAAAACCAATGCCAATCTTGTTTCTATTTGTGAAACTTGAGAAACAGTAGAAAAAGAAGAGTTTCAAGACACCAAGACGGTGAACCTTGTTTAAAAATCCAAGTGTCCAAGAAAGTATCAATATAGGAGCAGAAAAAGAAACATGCAAAAAAAAAACTATATGGAAAGAAGTATATAAACAACTTATCCTGCAGATTTAAACCTTATTTACAACTGAACGTAATGCAAGAAAGTATCAATGTGGAAGCATGTTAAAGAAACAACAGATTAGTTTCCTCATGGTGCTGTTCCTCATGCTGTTTCTATGTGTTTCAACTGTTTGTTAAACTGTTGTAAAGAAGATTTCCAACAAGACCAGACACAAAGACAAGGAACATACAAAAGAAGATTTTTGCTGTTTCAACTGCTTGTTAAAACAGTTGAAAATCGAAGAAAGTAGATTTTCAAGAAAGTATGAGTATAGAAGCATGTTTGAGCTTCTTTACAAACTTATTCTGCAGACTTAAACCTTCTTTACAACTGAAAGTAATGCAACAAAGTATCACTGGGAACCAGCAGAACAGTTTCATTGGGGAATCTTCTTTACAACTGATAAAGAAACAGCAGAAGAGTTCCCTCATGGTACTATTCCAAGACCTTTGTAGTTGCTAAAATACCGAAGAAGGAAAATTCCTGAGTCATACCTGTACAGAAAAAGAGATACATGGAAATTCCAAATTCCAGTCAATTCAAAATACTTTCTATCTTTATTGAGAGTATAGAACAAAGAAGTTGTTCATCACTCATATAAAAGCACATGGGAGAGTTCCAAAAAGATAGAGAAGGCACCTGAAATTGACCTTCGGAGCTGGTACAAATCTCGACTCAAAATTTCCTAGTTAAAAGTAGTATTTCGGTATGTAGCAGCAAACAAAGCCTTGAAGTTGTAGATTGCATCACTAATTGTAGGCAGAAATGCATCGCCACTCTAGCATGTGTTCATGATGTCAAAATATTCCGCTCTAAAGTTAGCAACAATTAATATCCATTGTTTTTCTTTTGAATACTGGCATTTTTACCTAGAAAAATGTAGACATGATAAAAATATTAGGCTAATACCTGACCAAAATAAAATTCTAATGAAAGCACTTGTAACAAAAAAACCTTTTTTTAGAACGGTAACAAAGACACCTTGCTTACCAAAGAAGCATTCGATAAACTGAACCCGACAATACATTCCTGTAAGATTAGTTTGTTTGCGGGATCTAAATGATTTAGCATAGGGTTCATTAACTTTTCCTAGATGTTTGTTTCCCAGGAATTGATTGACAGTTAGAACAAGGAAAAGATGGTTGAAATCGAAAAGGAAAACTGATGTAAACAAGAAAAAAATATAGGCTCACCATTTCATCAGTGCTAAGTGCTAACTATGTGTTGTACATATTCACTGTTTGGTAGGAGGCCTTTTCTTCCTCGGTTGAGCCGGTCTTTATTCTTTAGTTTTGAAAAACAAGCAACAATATGAGGATTTATCCAACCACCAGTCTAAGGATGAAGTGATGGTTTTCTGGTCTACCCAAACTCCATCAATCTCAAATATCATCTGGCTGTTAATGCCAGAAGAGCATCATGAATAAAATTTTAAAAAGCCATCAGAAAACAGTTTATAAAATCATGCATTTGTTCGTGCTTGAATCATGTAGAACAGATGACATTTCTACATATGCTACTTAATGGCAGAAACATTTTTCAAGTATCACGGAACATTATTTGAAAGAACATTATTTCGTTTTTGAATAACTCGGCAAACAATAATTACAAAACATTATTTAGGGTCAAAAAAATATTGAACAAACAATATTCATGGAAGATTTTGAAATGACATTATTGTGGGACGCTATTCAAGTATTGAGGGAACATTATTCAGTGAACAATTTCCAAGGAACATTATTGAAGGGACATAATTTAGGGATCAAAAACTCAAGGAACAATTTTGTAGGGAGCATTATTGGCGGAACATTATTTAGGGATGAAAAAAATGAGCGAAAAACTTTATTGAATGAACATATCAAAATGAACATTATTAGAGGACATAATTCAAGTATGTAGAGAAACATTTTCCAAGGAATATTATCCAAGTGTTATTCAAGGAACATAATTCAAGTATTTAGGGAACATTATTCGGCTAACAAATTCCACGAAACATTATTGAAAGGGACATAATTTAGGTATCAAATATTGAAGGAACAATTTTGTAGGGAACATCATTGGCGGAACATTATTTAAGGAACTATTTCCAAGGAACACTATTTAGGAAACACATATTAAAGGAACAAATTTGTAGGGAACATTATTGGAGGCATCAAAAAAATTGAGAGAAAAACTTTATCAAAGGAACATTCCCAAGATAGCATTATTACGGAAACATTATTCAGGTATTTAGGGAACATCATGTAGAGAACATTATTGAAGAAACATTATTTATAGACCAAATACTGAAGGAACATTATGTTTCCCTAACATTATTAGGGAAACAATTATTCAAGTATTTAGGGAACATTATGTAGAGAACATTTTTGAAGAAACATTATTTATAGACCAAATATTGAAGGAACAATTTTGTAGGGAACATTATAGAAGGAACAATTTGAAGTGAACATTACAGAAATTAGGGAAACATTTTTCAAGTATCATTATTTAGCAGACACTATTTGAACAAAAGGGTCCAAAATATTGAACAAATATTATTCAAAGGAACATTTCAAACTGAACATTATTAGGGAACAGTTTCGAAGGAACATTATTTATGAAACAAAAAAATTAAAGAAACAATTTTGTAGGGAACATTATTGGCGGAACATTATTTAGGTATCAAAAAATATTGAGTGGAAAACTTTATCAAAGGAACAATTCCAAGTGAAAATTATTAGGAGACATAATTCAAGTATTTAGGGAACATTATTCGGGGAACAATTTTTTTAAGGAACATTATTTAGGAAGCATTATTGAAAGGGGCATAATTTAGGGATCAAAATTTGTAGGGAACATTATTGGGGGAACATTATTTAGGGAGCTATTTCCAAGGAACATTATTGGAGGCATAAAAAAAATTAAGTGACAAACTTTATCAAAGGAACATTCCCAAGATAACATTATTAGGGAAACATTATTCAAGTATTTAGGGAAGGGAATGTTCCTCTGATATAGGTTTTCGCTCAAATTTTTTTGATGCCTCCAATAATGTTCCCTACAAAATTATGTAGAACATTGTTGAAGAAACATTATGTAGAGAACATTTTTGAATTAACATTATTTATAGACCAAATATTGAAGATCAAACAACTATGTTAGTACTTAAAAGGGATTGCTAGACAAGTTCTGCTTTTGTGTGTGTGCCCAAATGAATAAGAGCTAAGCAACACAGAGGACAAGGACACCACGAATAATCATGTAATGATAATACTTGCAACGAAAATGATGCAGAAGTATGGTAGATAAATGACACCATACTCCAAAATCATTGTTAACTAACTATGTCCACGCAAAATGTGCAATTAACCACAAAATTCTTGTCTGTATAATTCCACAAATATAGTGTGAAAAAATAGTTGGTAGTACTACTCATAGTACAACAGAGGAAATTACCTAAAACACCAGAACACTCTACCGTGCAAGCAAAGGACTATTCAAGGCATCAAATGCAAATTAAAGAAAACTTTTCAACATTAAAGAAAACAAAGTGGAGCGGGTAGGATGCAACACATGCATCGTTTATCAATACAAACATGTGAATAAATTCATGGCCTAACATTTACAAAACTACTCCAGCCTATAATATGGAACAAGCAACCTAAATGTTCATAGATGCGTGCTTATCAACGGTCGAATAGAAGAAAACCTAATACATGCTAACAAGTCTCCAGAACTAATCCATGTTGCTGCTACAAAATTCATAAAATAAACATAACATTTTTAATACATAGAAAAACATCTACATCAACCTACACAAACCACCCTATCATCATCAACAAACAAAAACAAAAAAGCGCAAGGCCAAGTGCCAGAACACACAACCTCCTAATAATAACATGCTGAATCATACCCCTAAATCCGAAATCTCTGAACACAACCCCCTGTCTAATATCAGAAACATCAAAATCAAATTAAAAACGCTCCACCACTACAACCAAAGCCTCCTACAAACCCTAGCAACTAGACCAGAGCTAAAACGGGATGAGAAATCATGGGCTCCATCGCGCGGTACCACACACAGAGCAAGGAACATAACAGGGGAATTTGGGCGCATTTACCTTGTCGACGCCGAGCTTGACGAAGCTTGACGAGGACCTAGACGACGCTGACCTTGACAGAACCCTAGATGACGCCGACCTTGTCGAAACCACAGACGACGCCGACGCCGACGCCGGAGACACCACCGACCTGCAAATAAACATCCAATGCGATGAAGTCAGCCAGATCTGATGTGGTGGCGCGGATGAGAAGGAAGCACAGGGGCCCGGCGGCTCCTTACGAGGGCGGTGGTCTCTTGCCGGAGTAGGATCCCGGAGGAAGAAGCAGGTGAAGAAGCGACCGAACGACGGAGGAAAAGGGGATCCAGGCACTTCGGAGGAA